TTGGGCTGAAGTTGTCAATACAGCTTGCTTTACTCAAAATAGGTTTATAATTGTGAAAAGACACAATAAGACTGCTTATGAAGTATTTCATGGCAGAAAACCAAACATCAGCTTCCTTCATGTGTTTGGTAGTGCATGCTATATTCTGAATGGCAGAGATCAGTTAGGAAAGTTTGATCCTAAATCTGATGAAGGAATCTTTGTTGGTTACTCTCTCTTCTCTAAAGCCTACCGGGTGTATAACTTACGTCGTCAATGCATTGATGAATCTGTCAATGTCAGATTTGATGAATCTGGATCGGTGCCTGCAACATCATCATTCCAAAGTGATGATCTTGAGMTCAATAAGTGGTTGGAATCTCACTCCTCTGAGAATTCAACTCCAGTCGGTGGACCTCCACACTCTAATGGAGATAATGTTCCAACTGTTGAGGAAGATGAGAATGAAGATCTTTCATTCAACATGAATATCCCATCGGCCTGTCCTAAACAAGAACAAGCCGATCCGGTACCTCTTTCCTGTGTGGAACCCTCAACTGGTGTCGATGTTCCTATTTCTTCTGCTAGGGACATCGGTCACCCAACCTCAGTAGTTGTCTATTCCAATCCTCTAACGAATGCTGACGGTGCCTCTACCTCTCTACATCTTCCTCTTCCTCCTGCCACTAAGTGGACAAGAGATCACCCAATAGAGCAAATCATTGGTGATCAGCAAGCAGGTGTCCAAACACGTCGTGGTGCTGGTAATWTCTGTTTGTATGTCAATTTTCTATCTCTCATCGAGCCTAAAAGGATTGAAGAAGCACTTGATGATCCTAGCTGGATCARTGCCATGCAAGAAGAACTGCTGCAGTTCAAGCATAACAAAGTTTGGAGACTGGTCCCCCGACCAACCAACAAAACAATTATTGGCACAAAGTGGATCTTCAGAAATAAAATGGATGAGAACGGAACGGTGACTCGGAACAAAGCCCGACTCGTTGCCCAAGGATTCAGGCAAGAGGAAGGCATTGATTATGATGAGACATTTGCTCCGGTAGCAAGGTTGGAAGCTATCCGAATCTTCCTTGCCGATGCTGCATTCAAGAACTTCAAAGTTTTCTAGATGGATGTAAAAAGTGCATTCTTGAATGGAAAACTTACTGAAGAAGTCTATGTGAAGCAACCTCCAGGCTTTGAGGATCCTAAACATCCAGAGTATGTCTATAAAYTAGACAAAGCTTTGTATGGTCTCAAACAGGCTCCTCGTGCATGGTATGACACTCTCTCTACTTTTCTTTTGGAGAACGGCTTCTCGCGTGGTAAAATTGACATTACCCTTTTTATCAAAAAACATAAAGGTAATGTCATTCTTGTACAAATTTATGTGGATGATATCATATTCGGTGCCACAAAAGAATCTATGTGTAGAAAGTTTTCAAAACTCATGCAAAGTAAATATGAAATGAGTATGATGGGTGATCTCACATTTTTCTTGGGTTTGCAAGTTCAGCAATCCGACAAAGGAATCTTTATAAATCAAAGCAAATATGTTAAAGATCTTTTAAAGAAATTTGATTTTAATGAGTTTTCGTCCATGAAAAGTAATGGCACCTCCCTTGAAACTGAATGCAGACCCCGATGGTAAATCGGTAAATGTGACCAGTTATAGGGGAATGATCGGCTCCTTACTTTATCTTACTGCTAGCCGACCGGATATTATGTTCTCCACGTGTCTTTGTGCAAGATACCAAGCGAATACAAAGGAATCTCACTTGGCAGCCGTTAAGCGCATTTTCAGGTACCTGAAGGGTACTCCCAATCTGGGTTTTTGGTATCCTAAAGACTCAGGTTTTGATCTAACAGGTTTTTCAGATTCTGATTATGAAGGCTGTAAAGTTGATAGAAAGAGTACAACTAGTAGCTGTCAGTTGTTGGGTGGAAAGTTAGTCAGTTGGATTAGCAAGAAACAACACTCTGTATCCACCTCAACAGCTGAAGCTGAGTATGTTGCTGAAGGTAGCTGTTGTGCACAAGTCTTATGGATGAAAAATCAGTTAGCTGATTACGACCAAGTGTTCACAGAAATTCCTATTTTTTGTGACACTTCAAGTGCCATTGCTATTGCCAACAATCCCGTTCTTCACTCTCGTATGAAGCATATTAATATTCGGTATCACTTTATCAGAGATCATGTGATGAAAGGTGATGTTGAACTTCATTTTATTCCTACAGACTATCAACTTGCTGACTTGTTTACCAAGCCTCTTGATGAATCTCGGTTTAATTTTTTGATCAGTGAGTTGAGAATGTTAAATGTTGACAAATAATTTTTGAGTTTTCACCAATTCATTTGGGTTGTGTTTTCTCTAAAAATGTTATTGTGTCGTTTGCTCAAAAATAGTCTGGTATCTGTGTGAATATGCTTTCTTCCTTTTTCTAAAATATTGATTTTTTGAGAATGATGGGTTTTACACTCGTGTATTTTTTTTCTTGAAAATCAATTCCTATTTTTCTCTCTAAAACGTCTCTGTTTAATTTCCTTAAATAATTTGTATTTTTTTAAATTTATTAGTATTTTTTTAATTTGTTTTATATTTAAAAAAAAACAGAAGAAAAAGATAAAAAGCTTTTAAGTTTAGGTTTGTGTGTAGTATTTTTATTTTCTTTATGCATTTTTTAACTTTTGTTAACAATTGGTGTGTGGGCCTCTTTATTTTGGGCCTAACCTCAAGCCATTCGGTTTACCCACTACACACCGAATCCCTCCCTCTTCGGCCAAAACCATCTTCAACTTTAAAACTCACAAACCTCCCCCCCAAGCCGATCCTCTTCTCACCTATTTCTCTCTCTTTCGGCTTCCCTTCACTCTACACTCAAGCCACACACCGATCTCTACATATCCCTCTCTAATCCCTCACGATCGGCCACTCCTCTCATTCGGCTTGCCCTCACACTTCTCTCCCTCCTATCGGCTTCCTTCAAACCCCCCCCCACCGATCCCCTAACTTCACAATACACACAAGCCGATTCCCCCCCCCCCAAAACGGTTTCCAATCCCCTTCCCTCTATACAATCATACGCCGACCCCCTTACCCCCTCTCCTTACCTAAGCTAAACGCAAGCCGATCTATGCTTTCGTCTATACCTCAAGCCGATCCTATAGGCCGATCTCTTTTTCTCCTTATCGATTTCCTACTTTCTCTCCCTCTCACCCACACCGATTCCTCCCTTCTCTTCTCTACACACCATAAGCTTCGCTTCCTCCTCAACATTCGGCCTCCTCACATAAGCCGAACCATCTCCTTTCGGCTTCCTCCCTTACAACCGAATACACTCCTTCCCCTTTGAAGCCAATTCTTTAAACCGATTCCCTCATCGATCGACCTCTTCTCACAAACCCCAAATCGATCCCTCCTCTCTACCTTACCACATATTCCATTCGGTTTCCTCTCCAAACCCACCCCCAAACCGATCGGTCTCTCTCAACCTAAACCCCTTACGCCGAAACCCATAAGCCGATCTTAGTCCCTCAAACTCTCTTCATTCGGCTTCACCATTCGGCTTCACCATTCGGCTTCCTCCCACTACCCACATATTCCATTCGGTTTCCTCTCCAAACCCATCCCCAAATCGATCGGTCTCTCTCACCGTAAACCCCTTTTTCAATCGGCCCCCTCTATCAAACCAAATACACACACACCCCGATCGCTCAACCCCTCACAAACCGATCCCTAGACACAAACCCACCCCCCCAAGTCGTCGCCGCCCACATCCTTTCTCCTCTCTTCTTTTCGGTTTGTGTCCCCTTTCCCCCAACATCTTTTTCAAAAACCTTTTCCCTCTTTCTCTTTTCAATCATTCAAGAACCAAACCCACACCCCTATCTTCACCTATTCTTTTACTTTTTTGCTTTACCTATGTTACTACTTACCACCCCTCCCCTCTCCCTATACCCTCTCACCTTCCTACATCACATCCCATCCCATCCCAATAATACTCACCAAACCCACACCCCTATCTTCCCCTACTTCTTTCTTTGTCAATTTGACTTTTTGCTTTCCCAAGACTAACCCTTTTTACCCATCATATTTTTTCCCTTCTCCTTTTTTATTTAAAACCCTCTTAAACCTCTCCTCTCTTATCACTCTCAAAAACCTCTTCCATCTCTCATCTTCTTCACAAGTTTACTGTGTGATTTTTCAAGATTCATCATCCATGGCTTCTAAAGGTGGAACTCCCTCCAAAGCTCCAAAGGTTAAGAAATCTGTTTCCCTCACTGCTGATAATGTTACATTTTCTTCGTGCAATTTTGTCGCATTGTTGGATCACAATGAGAAGTATCCAGATTTCTTCATCATAATCGAATTTCTACGTAAGTRCCCTCTTTTCAAAGCTCTTACTTATTCTCCAAAGATGAGTAAATCTCTGATTCGTGCATTTTGGGCTACATGTATATATGATGATTCTACCAAATCTGTGCATGCCTCTGTATTATCTGCCAATGATATATCTTTTAATGCTGATGATTTGAGGAGGGTGTTAGAGCTTTCTACTTATCTATCTTATGATGAGCTAGTATCTGTTGATAATCTACATGTTGTTGCTTCCACTATGAGCTATGTGCAAGACCCTGCTTTGATAAAACAAAGCACTCTTTATAGGAAGAATATGGATGGTGTTTGGAGATTTTTCTGTTCACATCTTATTCAATGCTTGAGTTCCAAAACTGGAGGAATTGATCAGTCACCCGCTTCGGTTACCCAACTAGCTCATGCACTGATTTTTCAAAGAAAATTTGATTTTGCTGGTTATTTGTTTGGGGAGTTGGTAAAGAAGATGGGTAGTGCCAAAAGCTCTACTATGCCTTTCATTAGATTTATATCCATGATGATTGCTGATAAACTTGGGTCACGTATGCCGGCGGATACTGCAAATTTCTATGACCTCAAAGTGTCTCAAGTTGGCATTCAGACTTTGAAGAAGGCATCATTGTCTCAGATCTTCCTCTTCCTTTAGGTATGGTTTCTTTTGCCACCTCTTCTCACCCTGTATGGGGAGAGTGCTTTGTGACCACAGTAGCTGGGGACCTTCCTCATGTTGCTCCGGTCACCCATCACTCCTCCATGTCAGTGGCCCCTCCCCCTTCTACTTCTTCAGCTACTGCCTCAAAAGAGGCCGCCTCCTCTGTCCGGAGAGGGCTGGCAGATAGTTTTATTCCCCCATCCTCCGCATCTGTTTCTGAGGCTATGACTTCGAAAGCGCCTTCGGAGTCTCACCCCGCCTCTCACCCTTCTCTCTCAAAGCGAAGACACTCTAGACTTTCCACTCTTGGCTCTTCCTCTACGAAGACCAAGAAGCCAAAAAGGGCTAAAAACACATCTCCAACCAAGGACTCTCAACAGTCCAAAGTTGTTGACATTGGTCCTACTGAGCCCAGGACATCTGCTTTACACCCCCTAGCTCCTCAGTCCCCTCTCAAAATGACACTGCTGTACATACGGGGATCCCACATGACTCCACCTTGGCATCTCTACATGACCTTGGTGATGACTCAGATACCTCCCCTTTCAGAGGTCCCTCCTCTCCTCCACTTATTCACGGCCTATCACCCGAGATCGATGATCTTGATGATATTGCACGGATGGATGATTTATCAGCTTTGTCTGATATTGACATCCCTTATCTCCAATATCTTCTTATGGATGTAGATAGTGAGCCTTGCCAGCCTACTACATCTACTACAATGGTAATCGGCGACCCGCCTCACGCAGACGTCGATGATACAGACACTGAGCCTCTCGCCGGTGTTGCTGATACAGACACTGAGCCTCTCGCCAGTGTTGCTGATACAGATATTGAGCCTCACGCCGATATCGTTGATACAGATGTTGAGCCTCACTCCAACATCAGTGATACTCCCATCGGTGACTCTCAGGGCGCCGATGGTACTGCGAGTGTTGGTGTTTCTTCTCCAGGTGGGTCAGCAAGCCTAATCAAAGCTTGTTCTCCTACTCCAGCTGCTGTTTCTCCCTCCAGTCCCCCCTCTGCACCAGGCTTCCAGTTCTCAGCTCCTTCTCCTCCTGAGGTGATCTATGCCATACCCACTGAGGTGGTGGACATGTTCAGAGGCTTCACATCTCAGTGTTAGTTGCTCATCTCTCAACAGGCCTCCCTCAGCACTGATTTATCTAGGAGAGTGGACTGCGTTACATCTGAACTGCATCAACACAGTGCCGCCTTGATAGATCATGGCATTGCCTTCTCTGCTATTAAAGCTACGGTTGATTCTCTTGATGCTCGCATGACTGCTCTTTCCGATTCTCAGGCCAATATCTCTGAAGTTGTAGCTGATCTTAGTGCTCGATCGGAAAGTCAAGCTGCCACAAATCAGGCAATTCTTCAATCTCTGACTGATCTTCACTCCAAGATGGATGCACAGACTCAGATATTCAAATTGTTCTTAGCCAGAGATACATAGTTCACTGTTGACTTGGGTCCTACTCAGTTCACGGAAGAGGACAGGGTTATGTTAGCCAAAGTCAGTCGCCGTGTTGAGTCCGATTATGCTCTTCTTGGCGGTCTTCATCGCGGTATCTCACGTCTACTTCGTGCCACATATGCTCCATTTCCTCGTGCTACTGCATCTGTGCTTTCCCCACCTGCCAATGTGGAGGGTCCTTATGTTCCTGCTAGTGGACCTTCCCCTGTTCCCACTGAGGGGGAGAAGATAGTTGATCCTGCTACAAGTGACAACGGGGACGACGACTCAGTTTCTACTTCTTCTACCTCTTCATCCTCAGCTGAGTCAGACTGTGATGCTCCTACTGAGGGGGAGCTATTTGATCATGATGATAGAGCCACAACACCTGTTGAGGGGGAGCAACCATGTTCTATGCCTTTAGTATCTGTTGAGGTTGGTACTATCCCTTCTCAAGATGATATTCCCACTACTTATGGGGACTTAGTCCAAACTCACAGAGAAGGAAAGGCACCCATGACCTCAGATGAAGAAGCTGCTGCAGCTAAAGCAGCTAAAATTGTTAGACATCAATCTGCAGTTCCTTCAGCCGACAAACTTATGCTTAAAGCTTCATGTTCTCAAGAAACTGATCTTCATCTCCTAGGTATTTCTTCTGAGGATGCGGCCAACTCAATTGCTCTTCAAAAGCAATTTGAGGAAGCCAACAGATCTCACTCCTTAGTCCCACGATCTGAGTCTGAAGAAACCAAAGAGAAAAAAATTAAATGGTTTAATGACTCAATTCTCCGACGCTACACTACTACTCGAATTGTCAATGCAAGAATCAAAGGTCCTCAAAAATTGACCTATGATTCCAATCTGATCTATTTGATTATTGGTCRAGAAAACRGAGCTGTGAGGACAGAAAAGCTGACTTGGATCAATTCCTACGGTCTTACTGAGTGGATGGAGATCATCAAGTTTCTAAGTAAAAGCAGAAGCATGTACAAGGAATTTGTCTTGAGTCATCTGTATCGCCTTCTCAAAAATATACAAATGATCAAGATGCATTACAAGCAGCCTTCCCCTCCACAACTCTCCTTTTTTAAGCAAGTGTTAAGTAAAGATGGCTCTTCTAAATCTGCTTCTGCCTCGAAGACCATCAAGAATCAAGAYTCRYTTATTCAGAAATTATCAAAGGAAGGTAAGGCTCCTGATGTCTCACATCTTGATCTTACCCTTCCTTCAGATGTTTGTCATCCGAAAGGAACTATCTTATCCACTCCTGAGCATGGAATATTCTTCTGGGACGCGAGTAGTTGCCTTCGATTTTTCTGAGCTTCTGAGATACCTATAGCTGATTCTCAGCTATTGCGCGTGATACTGAGTGTAATCAAAATTGGTGAAGCAGGAAGAGTCTTTTATACTTTGATCTCAGATGAACTGAAGAGAAGAGAAGTTCTTGCAGTGGTTGATTCAGACGCTATGGAAGTAGATGATGATTGCTAGCTTTCCTATGTGATTTCTTCTTCTCAAACTACTTTCTTCACTGTAAGTATTTAATGCATTGTCTAGTATAAATGCAATTTGATTTTTCAGTATTTACTTTAAATTTCTCATTCTTTATTTGTTTATCTCTGATTCATTATTTGTTTGTATATACGTTTATAGTTTAAAAAAATCAAAAATCAAAAAAATAAAAAAAAAGAACCCAAAAAGAATATGTACATGGGTCACATAATTTATAAGTTCTTCTTCTCAAAGAATTTTAGAGTTTGTGTATCTTGTATTTATTTCTTTCTAAGTGTTTCTGTCATCATCAAATAGGGGGAGATTGTTGGGTCAYCTATTGATTTGGTGATGACCCACTGATCTGTTCCTCTACCTTAGCAACACTTAGTAGTTATTGGTTCTTTGTAAATTGGTGTCTTGGTACGTACTTAAAGCCATTGGCAAAATCGAAGACTAACCGATGTGAAGACAGAAGGTCACCAATGCGGTGTTGTGGATCAACTGTCTAATATACACACCAAGACTCYGAAGTAGCTGAAATGCGTATTAAAAATATTTTGAAGCTACAAGCCGATTGAAGGAAGATCTTCATAGACCGAAGATTGAAAATCTTCATGGACTCAAGAT